GTCACAGGTTATGACGTAACAAAACTAATTTTAACGCAATAACACTAGAGGGATAATTTTTTTGTTCCGATTTTCTTCTTTATTTGTGCTTTAGTAATCTGGCATATCACATGTGCAACACAGCTGCATTTTCTGGAACAAAATTACGGCTCCAATTTGGGGATTTTGCTCAAGGGGGGGGGACCCCATATTTTGTAATAGGTCTCCTGCTCATCTGCCAAGTTTGGTGTAGAAAGAGTCAATACTTTTTAAGTAATGCGAAATAATGTGCAATACCCAAGAACTGACGAAACATGTGGGGGGTGGTTTGGCCCCTACGTGAAAGGCCGCTGGAAAGGCAAAAGTCGATTATTTTACTGACTTTTTTCGCATATTCCTTATTATCAATTATTCTTTCGGGAACGAGATTGTAACAAGTCCCGAACTAAGCAGCGACAAAAGAATCCGGCTTGGGGCATTACCAAGGTAACAGTGACATCATACTGACCAGTCTCGTACTCATACCCCCTCATATTTCTAGTAAGTTACTCAATACAGACACAACGCAAGCTCAAATTTTACTTGTGATCCATTCCGCTAATTTCAAGCTTTCTTCACTGAGATTTCACTAGTTTATTTACAGGACTTACTTTTATACCTCACAATGTGTCTGGCATGCTTTGCCATCAAACAAACACGTTGTCAAGCAAACACGTTGAGAGATTTTTTATTACGATTATTTCAAATGCACACCTGTCACTTTAGTCTAGACCCTGAATTCTCCCATCCCCACGCTGCAAAGAGACAATAAAAGAGATATTTGCCTCATTAGCACGAACGATACAGTTTCTGATGAAGCTACAAAAACATTAGTTCTGAATACTGAAAGGGCACAGCACGATTAACTGTGCCAAGGAATTTGATCCCGATGTATTGAATACTTTTTGTGCAACGCGGTTTAAAAACTCAAAATGTAACAAAGAATCAGTATGAGCTCATCAGCGCTTTTGCCGCCCAGCAATTTCCCAGTTTTTGAAAGCCGATTTCTCCTCGAATGTTACACCCAAAAAGTCACAAGCTCTTTAAATGTTTGTAGTCCATTTGCGTCTGGCGTGATGCCAGTCGTACGTTAAAGAGGAAAAATGTAAACAATGACGTCGGCAAAGAGATCGTTCTAAATGGGGTTGAAACCAGGCGGGGAGGGAAGGTTCAGGGAGTGGTCTAGTCTCGTCCTAAACACACGTGAACCAGAATGATATTCAAGTCACGCACAATAATCACTCAGGTTTCGGTGCCGAATCAGTCTTCGTTAATTCGTCGTGTTTCTTGTTTGCTGCAACATATTCAGGATAGTCGATATATCCATCAGAATCTAAGTCATCCATGCTTAAAATCTGATCCACCGTTTTCGCATTCTCCTCTTCTGAAGTGGATTCCTTGTCAGTTACTCCTGATTCGTTCTGATAGTGGCTTAAAGCGTGCATGATTTCAAGGCCGTCCAGTTTTCTGTTGCCGTCGTAATCGTGGAGCCTGAAGTAGTGAAACATCAGGTCTTCATCGCTCATTTGGTCTTCTGTCAAGTCTATCTCGTCTTTAAGATGCTCTTTGATGTGACTAAAAGAAATAAATAACATAAAGTGTTGATTGAAGAGTTAGTCACTATACAGTCAACTTGTACAATTGTCAAACGTCCTATGGTTGACATAACGGGTTGTTAATTCGGCAGAAAAACGCTCTCTCCCATAATTGGTGTGACTTCGCAACACCTCGGCCCCACACATTCACCTTGCTAATTTTCAAATCCTGGGCGAAATTTCTAAAGGAGAACTTGTTTTTCAGGTAAAGACGGCAATTTTGAAGAGGATTTCTTTCGAGTGCCCTCTTAATTGTTTCCCATTGAAATTTTCAGCACAGAGGGAAATAAAACAATAACAAATCTATCGCATTTTGACCAAGAAAATATACGGATTTCTTTTACTTAATTTAATAGACTTGAGATTCAGAAGTGTTGACCACCTTATCTTACTTTTATCTCATCAGCTATTTAAATTCACTAGCTTGCCTCCTCGATTAAAATAAGCCTTAAAGTATTATCTTAATAATAAGCCTTTTCAGCAGCTCACATTTTAACTTTCTCTTCACGCGCGCGTGGCTCGCACTTCCCGTATCTCGTTACACGTTTCGCGCTTCTCACTTCACGCCTCGCCTGTCATGCTGTTGGCAATATGTTGTCAAATTACAAGGCAGGCAGGTGCACTTTACTGTAGTTTTGAATAATAACAAAAATATATATGTATCTCCTCAAATGTAAGTAGAAAGGAGTATTCTGTATGTTAAGTGCAATTTTACTGGCTTAAAGTTGCCTACTTCATAAAAGTTCATCAGAGTAAATAGTTAGAATGAGCAACGGTTTTAAAAATTTTGTTCCAGTTGCTTATATTAAGCGTTCGAGTTAGGCCTTGATCTCAGTTACAGCAGCTGTAGAATAGGACATCCAAGGCAAAACTCCCTTTTATTTCGCCTGGGGTCTGTCAAAAACCTCAAGCTTGGCGCCGTTCGATTCAATAAACAGGGAACTATGCTTGAATTCGAATAAATTTTATTTTTATTTTGTATATTCTTCTCTTCGATCGACAATCGGTTACCACCCAGCGAAAACGATGCAAGCTGACAGCTATGTTACAGTTTTGGCCTCCATGATTCTGATAAGGTGCCGTTAACGATCCAAAAACCGACATGATTCTCAAAGCATTCGTCTTTGAGCTGTTGTTAAAAAAAACCTGCACATCAAACAGACCATCAGACTAATATAAATTCACTTACTCTCTATCGTGGGTGACCTTGGCATCGTGTAGAGCTGACTTGGGTTCTTCGGCGGTAAGTATCGAGGTGAAGAGAGCGAGAGACAAAACACACACGTTGATGAAATCTGGGAGTAAAACCATTCTTCTTTCCTTCTTTGCGTTGCCTCAGAGCCGTTTCCCAGGATTACACGCCAGTAGCTTATAAAATTCACTTATCAATATGGTAATATACGCGGTATTAAATTAGTTTCCACACCATTGAACAAAAATTGTAATTCGTTGTCTTATCTCCTATCTCTTCGTGCGTGCGTGTGGTTACTCAATTGGTAGGTTTTACAAAAAGGACAATGGGTAATTTCCTCGCTCCAGTGCGGGTGATTCCATGTGAAAGCATTTTCCGCTATGTCTTTCTTCTTCAAACTTTGAATTTGCATACGGAGAATAAAATAAGTTTGTGCACTTAACAGAAATTCCTTCCTGCAAGTTGTGAAAGCCAGTACAAAAGGTTATGTTGGCCCTAACACATTTTCGTTTCACAACGCAAATTCTTTTGACCTGGTCATTCTGGAAATTTGGAAAACGCTGCTCGTTTTAATTTAAACGGAGACTTCTGAAATGGTTCTTTAAGTGAAGGTTACTCAAAACCCGGCCATATCGTTTGGGTGAAGGCGATCGGGTGCAAGCGAAGACAGACAACAATTGCTTTAAAATTTCCTACCACTAAGACCTGCTTCGCGAAAGTAAAACCCCACCCCTTTTCCTCCCAAAAAAATATCTTAGACGAAAACATCCATGGCTATTACTAATAAGCTGTACTTTCAAACTGGTAATTAAGTCTCCAAAGGAAAATACGCCTAAGGGGTAACAATCATCAAAGAAACAGCGCTTAGAAATTCAAAATAGTTGATTAATTTATTTATTGAGATATTTTACAGAGGCTTTGAAGTTGATAACATAACTAATGCTGGACATGACAGTTGAACAGGCGACTGTGTACCTGAAATACATATACAAAAAAAAAAGTTTTAAAAAAATCAAGTGTTGTGTATTTTCCATCTAGGTTGCTTGCGGAAGAGGAGGGAAGTGCAATGGGGGTGGAATGAGGGAGAATTAAGGGTGGTTGTGCAGTTTGTACGAGGGGGGTATTTTTTTCTGCAAGCAGATCTTCCCTTTTGCATGCCATTTTTTGGGGGTGGGGAAGGAAGATTTGTGTTTTAAATTTTTTTATTTCAGTGCTTTAGATGAGGTTGACAATTTTTTTAAAAAGTTGACACTGGATAACATTTTAGGTTTCAAAAAGGTAATGAATTGTTATTCTGGTATTCTGGTATACCATGGCTTTACCCAAACACCTCTATCGGTGTTATTCTTAATTGTTCCCCAAATGACCCCTTACCCCAACCCCCTCACACTCAACCCTCAGTCTGAGGTTGGAAAAGAGGAAATCTTCAGAAAATCTTTTCAACCTTGAAAATTCTTAGGAGAGTGAGCCACAGAAGTTGTAAGAAAATCTAACAGTTATTTTTGTAAATCTCTTCCTGGTTGTCCAGAGAGAGGTACCATGCAGTAAAGTGTATTGTCACAGAACTGGACACACAAGGGCCCCAGCTAGCGCTTGACCATCTGATCCTGTATCTTTGGGTTCTAACACTTAATTGTTCAAACAGTAAAGTTATGTACAAGGTAGGAAAGTTACCCACCAAAGATATTGTAAATGGGGATGATCCACAAATCCAAAGACAGGGGCTGCCAGTGAACAGCCAACAAGAGCTAATTGTAAAACAGTGTTGGCCTTAAAA